CCCCTTGGCTCTCAGTGCACCGCCAAACTCCCTGTCCCTCTATGGTAAAGGGAGAGTCAGAAGGCGGGAGTTGGGTTGACAGCTGAGATTGGATGGATGGGTGGGGGGCCATTTAGGGTCCTTTCTGACAGGCCATGTGGTTCAGAGTGAGGTGTGACCTTGGAGGTAATGCACACTTTAACCCCCTAAAGACAGCAATTAATACCCCCTGCTGGACTTATCAAAATTCTTTGCTCACCAATACTAATAAAAACAATGTAGCAATAAATAATGACAGAATGCATCTTATTGCGGATCGCTAATATTAATCTCCTGCTGGACTAAATTATTTTATTTATTCACAAATTTATTTCACAACATTGCTTTTCTCCCTCTATGGTTTTCTGTCCTTCCTTGGCTTGTTTTTTGAGCCTCTCAGTGCTCTGTGATCGTGTGATCATGTCGTCCGTGACCATCTGCATACATTTGGTGTTCAGTGCCTCCTTGCCACTATGTACCAAATGGTCGAGCGGCTAGCATATGCCACAGTGTCTATACGCCAGATGCGGCCTGTCGACATCCGTCACAGCAGATCCTGAGGCCGCAGATGTGACATCCTGTTTCGTACCTTTTCTGGAAACTTCTTTAGATTAGCCAGTAAGGAGTCTGAGGCCATTTAATTGGTGGTGAGGGGGTCTCTCAGGCATTTATACATGGATGTCATTGGCTGCTAAGTCTGCGATGCCCCGTTAAGCGCCGCAGTGCCGTTTTGGCATGATCTACATCTAGCAGCTGCGGAATGGGGCTTCATCGCCGGCGTGGGGAGCAGCGGAAGCAGATGCCCTGGAGAGCCAAAGCCAGCCATCGCTATGGGTTGGGTACTAGCTGGTCTCAGCGTGCCGGTTTCTGTGAAGAGCCGAGGGCCTCGTCAGTGGGTAGCACGACCCCCACGGGTGGGAGGCGGTGAGTGGGTGGGACTTCGGAGGCTGCGAGATACGGGGCCGTAAATCACGGATGCGGCATAGCAGTGCGGTGGGGGAGGGGGGCAGTGCTGGGAGAGGGTAACAAGCAGGCAGGGACTGCACTGCAGGGGGAGGGG